CCTCTATATCCTCTTTGCATGGAAACCCTTTTTGGACTACGCTCTTAGACTTGGACTATAACATGCTGAAAATATGTATGGCTCCTAATTTTAGTTTTTTTCTTCTCTAAACTGCACTGCTGAACTTTTGCTTTTTGTTGTTTTGTTCTTAAAAACAAAAATTAATAACATATTTTTGAAAAAAATAAATAAATAAATAAAACAACAAAACAAAAAACCAAAAGCAAATTATTTCAAATTTTAAAGAGATAACTCTGGACATCGTTGACTAATTATTATTTTATTTACTGCTTGTATCCATGTAGTTTTAAATGACTTTTACAAACCTTTCAGCAGGAGCTGTCATACTTTAAGACTGAACTAACCAGACGTACATTTTATTTCTGTCTTAAGGTTTCAGCGATCTATGCAAGTCTGCATTATGTGTGACACTGTCTTATTGTTGTAAGTTGGAAAATAATGTATATCTACTTTGTTTGAAAAATCTTCTGTGTTTTCATCTATCATATAAATTGAATGTGAGGCCACACATCTGAAAACTTTAAGTTTTACTGATAAAAACTTACTGTTTATTGTAAGCAATACAAAAATGCAAAAATGTTATTAAGACTTATACATACACAGAACATCTATATGCCTGAGGTTGGAACGTCCTTCTCCAATCTCATTTACAGCTTTGCAGAACAAATTCCTCATGTCTGATGATACTTTAATGTTCAAAATCTTTCCATTTCCAAAGACAGTTTCCTGTCCTCCATCAGCTCTGTACCAGGTGTAATTCTTCTCTGCTGGGTTGGCATCACTGTTGCATGTCAGAGTCACATTGCTGTTCTTTACAACCGGACCAGAGGGACTGACTGAAACTGTGACATTCTTAGGGGAATCTAAAAGAGGAAACATTTTAAATTGTTAATATCGACACAAATAAAATGGAGTCATAAAGTTGACAGTTGAAGGACACCGACTACATTTTTGAAAGTTTTGCTACAACTTAGGGAAATATTTTGGTTACTGTAAGCATTACATTATATTAAATGTGTGATCTTTTTAAATGTTATACATACACAAAACTTCTGTGTCTGCGGTATGAATGTCCTTCTCCAATCTCATTGACATCTCTGCACAAAAATATCTTCTTCTCCCTTGATAACTTAATTTTTATAATCTTTCCAATATTAATGATTCAACTTTAATTTGTAATTTATTGTAATATTTTAGCCCAAATCCTTCTCAGGAACATTGGACCAGGTAAATCCCACCCTTTCAAAAGCTATTTGGTCAGTCAATTTATCTGGTATGTCATCGGTTGATCATTTTTTTTTTTTTTATATGTTGTACACTTCCATATTTAGTCATAAATTTTAACTGTTTGTTTTTTGTGACTGATGAAAGTAAAACACCACAACATGTTTGTGTGTTAACACTTTCTTAGTACAAGTGCCATTTTAGTTTTATCCACACTTCATTTTAAATACATTTATCACTTTATCATGTAATTTAACAAGCATTAGATTAGATCTTAAGGTTTTAGAAACTAAATAAACGTTTTAAAATTTGTGTGGAAGAAAACAGCATAACATATTTTATACTGAAATAAAATGACTATATAGAAATATAGAGAAACCCTATGACAATAGGAAGAGTTATTTAGATAACTCAAATTGTTCCCTCCAAATAGAAATAAACAAATAACAAAAATAGTCTGAGTTGCCGTATAAAAGAAGTCAAAAGAACTTACATGAAATATCTGGCAATAAAGATTTGGTAAGAGGTGCATCAGAGCCTCCATCTTGTTTCTTGTACACAGCAGTGCAGGAAATTTTCTGCTCATGATGGAGGTGAGAAGCAGTGAAGTTCATAACTGAGGTCTTGAATTTAGTTTTGTCCAGTTTCTCCTGCAGTGTTTCCTGAATGTCCCCCAGTTTTGGGGTCCAAATCAGAGTTGGAGGATGAGGCAGACATGGAGCCGGAGCAGAGCAGGTCAGACTCACTGACTCTCCCTCCTTTATCTTCAGGGTGGATGGAGTCAGAGTTGGTGAGGGAAAATTATCTGCTTGGACAGTTCAGATGCTGTTCATTATCAGTGTGTCAGTAAAATATAATAAATTTAAAGTTAGCTGCCTCAACACAATGTATCCGTCAAAGTTCTGAATGAGTATGTTGACCTACCTGTGACCTCAATTTTTACATCAGCATTAAGGAAATTGTATTTCAGAGCATTGTTACAGTCCAGTCTGAAGATGTAATTCTTGGTATCAAGAAGCTGCATATTGCTGAAAGTTGTGGTGCAGTTTTTGTTTGTTAAGTCTCCTGTTTGTAGATTTCTGTCAGTTAGTTGTGCAACATCTCCTGTGGTTCTGGAACGCCATATAGCTTCACAATTGTCATTCAAGTTCTGTTCATATTTCTTCTCAATGTCAAAGGAGCAGGGGACGGTCACACATGACCCTGTCATAACTTTCACAGTCTGTGGCAAATTAACCTCGAAACTGTTACAGTTGGAGCCTGAAAAGAAAACAGACATAGAAATAAGAAAATGCTGCAGTAGTTTATTTCACTTTTAATTTGATTTCAAAAACAGCAAAAAGTTTATTGGGACTTTCCAAGACATCTTTCATTCAAGATGTTGTTACAGTCATGGGGTTCTTGTCTGAAGTAGATTTTGGTTTGTCTCAGCTTTTTGTTTTGCAACATATTACCTAAAAGTGCACATTGTTCTTGAAAAGACTGCGTAAAGATGGGTCATGTATCTTAGTAAATTGTAATTCAAGAAAATTTATGATACTTTGAGTTCAAACAACAAGTGAATTTTGATTAAACAACACACTGAAAGATTTAATTGAGTAAATATGCAACTGTTTAATGATTTTGACATTTAGGTCTTTTTTCTAATTTCTTGCATAATAGATGTGAAGACATTTAGCTTCATATCTGTCATCTAAGTTGGGTTCATATTTGTGCTCTACGCAGAGGAGAAAGTATCTTGAAAGATTTGCCAATACTATGACAAAAATCATCAGTGCAAACCAAAATAAATGAAAACATATCAATATTTTACTGTATTACAGGCTTCCTGTATGGACGAATCAAAAAGTAAAAGCTCTACGCAGTGTGTGCAGTTTGTCTATAATTTGAAAAATAAAAAAATATTTTGATTGTTCAGGTTCTGGCATAAACTGTGGAAAGTTATTAGTTACATTTACTCATATTGCTGTAATTATAATTTGTCTACTTTGTACTTTTGCTTGTTTACAAAATCTGAATTTTTACTTAAATTTGTTTTAAATAAAGTACTTTTCTCAGTTGCATTCAAAATCACATTGATGAATAAGTAAAAGTAAAATATAAAAAAACACTAGAAAAAAAACAGCATTGATTTTTCTGCTAAGTTTGTACTAAGGTCTTATTGTGTTGCATCAAATGGAAGACAAAGACAACAGCTTTATCATGTATTGTAAACTTCAATAATATTTAAAATCAACTGTAAATGTCAGCTTGGTGTGATTATAATTTATATTGACTAAAGCTGAAAACAGAAAATCAGGGTATTAGCTTAGAGTCAGTTGTTTAAACTATTAGATAGGAGGGACAGAGGAAATATTGGATGAATAGTTTTCCTTTTCCAAAGAACTGCCAGGTTTTGAGGACGAGGACAAACACAGAGAAGCTCCATGTAGTGAAGGATGCTGAGATGGGGGAGACGATCTGCTGTTCAGAACCATAAAGACAGCAGCTGACAGAAGATTATTGAAATGAATGTCCCATTATAGTGTTGTCTGTCTATAAATTTGCTCCTTCAATTAAAAAACATTTTGAAACCAACCTGTTCTCATTTCCCTTGTGACAAAGTAGCTACAGTAAAATTTTAATGAGGTTCTTTTTACTTTTACTCCTAGTAACTTTAATTGTATTTAAGTGCAAGTTTAATCAGATTCACTGTATATTTACTTAAGTAGCCTATATTAATTTTGTACTCTTTCCAGCTTTGCTGGCATAAACACTGACAATCAATTTTATGTTATAGTGTCAGCAGTAACTTTTTCATCTTTGGCATTTCTGTATTTTCCTTTGAGCAAATTTGTTATTGTTCTCTGCACAGTTTGGATTTCTCTTGAATTAAAAATTTGCTGTACCACAGTGTTTTCCCAATTTATAAATGTTAAGTAACTTTGGCAAAAAATGACTATTTTTTTGGAAAGTGACATTTTCATTAAGGGCGTGAAATAGAACTCAACCATGACAAATTAGAATGAACTGAAGAATGATTTATAGTTTACTGGATTCAACCATAATTAGAAATTATTTCATAGACATTGAAACCTGGAATGGATTTGTTGTTTAAAACATTTAAGCCAAACTAAATGTTACCAGTAAGAATCTTACCTTGGAGTACAGAGCCAATTAGAAGAAAAATCAGAGGTCCAGCCATCTTTGTTAGTTGGATCCTTTTCCCAACAAACCTTTGGCTGGAAGTGTGGTTCACTTTGGGATGACTGCTAGTCTATCACACAGAAACGGACATAAATGTCAAGTTACTATGCAAAGCCAGGGGCAATTTAGAAAAGCAAATTCACCTACAATACATGATTTTGTCCTTTGGAAGGCAGCCAGAGTACCCAGAATAAACTCCATTCATAAAATCCTCAGCCAGCGATTCAAACTATCTTCTTGCAGGAAAGTAACAGAGCTAACAACAGTACCACCAACATGAATCTGGAGTTTATCATTTGTACTGTTTTTAATTATAAAATATATTTTGTATTATATAATATTCTTCCTAATTATGGAGTACTAGCTCATATCTAGTAGAGCAACTGGCAACCTGTCCAGGATGTCAAACGGCTTCTCACCCTTTGACAGCTGGAGATCAGCACCAGCAACCCTCCTGACCCCAATGGGATGAGGGTGTAAGAAAATGGACGGATGGATGGATGGATGGATGGATGGATGGATGGATGGATGGATGGATGGATGGATG